GGACCATGCATAATTAGTTGAGTCGAGGGCTGAGTCCCAAGGTTGGGGAGTTCCCCATCATTGGGTCCCAGTCTCCGCCTCCTAAGCCCCCCCACGACAACAACGAGCAAGGGATTGGGGGGGACCTCTCGGATGAGAGGCCGACACGTTACCACTGTACTAGCCCGGAGGCTCAGGACCCTTGGGGTTAGGGAATCAGGAGGATTTGAACTGTTGGAGCTATTTGATGAAGGGGCAAGCCTCATTGCCCCTAATAGTGGGGTTACGTTTTCATTATTGGCCATGGTAAGCCAGGAGTATGTTGGGGAGAGAAACAGTCCACCCCTCAGGGTCCCCTTGAGGGGTAAGGGCTAGGCCTAAGCAAGGGAATACCGTGCCCATGGCTCCCTCAGGCCGTTCAGGACTGGCACAAAGTCAGCCTTTCATCCTTTCAGCACGGCTCTCACACCTTAGGAGGTGGATAGTAGAAGGGATTGGTGAAGGGACAGAAACGAAAAAGTAGGAAGGGAAAAAAAGACCATGCAATATTAGTTGAGTCGAGGGCTGAGTCCCAAGGTTGGGGAGTTCCCCATCATTGGGTCCGCCTCCTAAGCCCCCCCATGACAACAACGGGCAAGGGATTGGGGGGGGGGGGGGATAACGGCAATGGATTGGTATCTAAAAGTAAACTTCACTTAGGGCTTGTTTATTACCAACTTACATTTGCCTCAGTGTAACTGATACTTACTTCAGTGTGGGCTCAGTGATTATGTATTTTATTTGGTTTACTTTTTATTGATATCTTGATATCAAATTCAATAAACTGTTACTCACTGATTTGATTTAGTGATTTTCTCTTCCAATTCCCATTGGCACTATTATTAGCAGCATGAAGTTTGTCATAAAATTATCTTGCATTTCCATTGTTTTCTTTCCCTTTACCTTCGTGATTTTCACAATATATCTTAAAACAGTCTTTATTTCCTTTTCCCTGTATGAAGTTTCCTCTATTAACATTTCTGCTAAAACAAACATAACTGTTAATTTTTTGTGTTCAAGAGAGGCATCGATATTTGCCTTTAAATCCAACACATACATTCTCAGCATATAATGCACAGTTATAGACTTTGTCACAAAAAGTTAGTAGCCACTCTCTCTGACAGAGTTACAAGCACACACACACACATACATGCAAACCCACACATGCACACACGTGCACACACATATTTACACATCCAACCCTATTATATAAAAGGATACAAATAAAACACATTTAAAAGGGTATAAATTATTAAAGCTTTATCATATCATATACAACAATGTAATATGAATAATCATTTCATTTTCTTTTGAATGACTCTTAAGATCCAAAGCACTGCAAGCAGGTAACCAAATCAGACTAGATATTAGTGCACCTATAAGACTGCCACCTCAGCTGTAAAGACCAACATTTTGGTTTCATACAGTTTCTTGAAAATATTCATTTCCATCTTGCACTTTTATGTTGAAAAATTTAATATCTTCAAACAAATATTTTAAGTGGGTGATATGTTACTACACATATTTTTAATCAAAACACAATAAAACAAACAAACAAAAACAATGATACTTATGATTAGAATCATGAATATGGCAATCAAATAACATCATACCATCTTAATAAATTTGTGCCCTTTGAAACACTAAAATCAACAACAACAGAAGTCCCAAAGTGATCCTATGGTCTTTTCAATAAATAGAAAATCTGGCATTTCATATCAGCTTGTGCTTCATTTCACAATATGTACACTACAGTTATAACATCATGAATTTTAACAGCTGAGCAAAATCAGAAATGTTTTGTCTTTTCACCAGTGATTTGTTTTGTCTTGCATATAATGTAATGGAGTTCATATCAAAAAGCCTACATAAGTATATCACTTACTGTCAGCCATAAACGTGATAACCTATTATGCATTAAAGCATTCTCCATACGTTAATTTATCATTATTAATGAAATTCGAAATTCTGTGTAACCTGAATTTCTAAGCCTCTGTAAAATCTTACAGAGCACTGTATGTGACATGCACTGAATATTTAATATACCTAATCTTTACTTTGTGAGCTGTTTTGCATGAAAATCATTTCTTACCTTTTACACCATAAGGCTCTGGCAAATATAGATAACTTTTCTCATTTCTGCCAACACATTCATCCTCTATACTTTAATAAAAGGTAACCATGAGATTTACACATTCATGGGATGAGAATAACATAACCCTCTGTTTAGTGTGTATGCTACAAAATAGAAGCATCATTACCATTACCATTACTTATCACTATAATTATGCTGCTTTAGATTCAAAACCAGCTATCTAATTCCTGCCTCGTACCATACTTTTGTTCATTTCCAATTACTTTATATATAGCTGCCAAATGAGTAAAGAAAGAAAAAGAAAAAGAGAGAGAGAGAGAGAGAGAGAGTGTGAGAGTGAGAGTGAGAGTGAGAGTGAGAGTGAGAGTGAGAGTGAGAGTGAGAGATAAGGATAAGGATAAGTCCAATATGCGAAGCTGAGCCTCGCCCGGGCTATGGGGGAGCCCGGCCTGTGCCGACTAATGTCGACTCGCTAACAGTGTGTCAGCAGGTGCTGACTCAGATGAGCTTAGTCCTTACCCACCGTGGTGCCCAGCCACAGCAGTAACCTCCAGGCGACAATTGCAACTTCTCAAGCTTGGACAGGGTGCGAACCGCCGACCCCTCGGATGAGAGGCGGACATGTTACAACTGTACTAGCCTGGAGGCGAGAGAGAGAGAGAGAGAGAGAGAGAGAGAGAGAGAGAGAGAGAGAGAGAGAGAGAGAGAGAGAGAGAGAGAGAGAGAGAGTGTGTGTGTGTGTGTGTGTGTGTGTGTGTGTGTGTGTGTGTGTGTGTGTGTGTATGTGTGTGTGTGTGTGTGTGTGTGTGTGTGTGTGTGTGTGTGTGTGTGTGTGTGTGTGTGTGTGTGTGTGTGTGTGTGTGTGTGTGCATCTGTGTGTGTGTGTGTGTGTGTGCATCTGTGTGTGTGTGTGTGTACATCTGTGTGTGTATGTGTGTGTGTGCATCTGTGTGTGTGTGTGTGTGTGCATCTGTGTGTGTGTGTGTGTGCGCATATCTGTGTCTGTGTGTGTGTGTGTGCGCATATCTGTGTCTGTGTCTGCGTCTGTGTCTGCTTCTGTGTCTGTGTCTGTGTCTGTGTCTGCGTCTGCGTCTGCATCTGCGTCTGTGTGTGTGTGTCTTTCTCTCCATGCATGTACAACAGCATATTATCCCAATAAGAATATTACCACTATCTTCCAGCTGTAGCAAAGCCTAAACCTCCATCGCTAGCAAGAGAACTATACTGCATGGAATCACAGCACACTATATATTTTCACCGAAAAGCAAGGCATTCTGGACAGCAACTTTATATTTCCTATAAAATGAATATCAGGTTAATAAGGTTTCACTTATTTGAACATTATCAACAACTGCAAGCCCAACTTTTGAAGAATTAAAGGATGCTTTTAAAGACTTATCAACACAAATACAAGGATCATGCAAATAATTTTACAATAAAACATATATAAATAAGTAAAACAGACAAAGATACTTCACACATAAAATAGTACATTATAATTCCTTAATGACTTCCTCCATAATGACAACAGTAATACAACTTCCACTGGGTAAAAGATGAACTACAATACACAATACAGAATTTGCTCTGTAATATAAAATGAAACGTCTGACAGTTTTATTTAGGAGCACCTGGCGGCAGTCTAAAATTTAGGTTTGAAAAGATATATTCTCAGTATGATGATTATAGGTAAGAAAAAGAAGCACAGTTGTACAAAGTCACATAAATAATCTTCCATTATTGATTAATAAACTGCTATATCAATATTCGATATGGACAACAATGAAGTAGTTTAACTGGGCCTTTAACTTGTATATGCACAGCTCACCAAGAAAACATTTCTCTTACAAAAAAAATCAGAGATTTGAATTGAAGTTTTAACTTCATATTCAGAGAGAGGAAAAAAGAAGAACCAACCCCGAGAAGTTTTGACTTCACATAAAAGTTAAATATGGTTATATAAATACTGTCTTCTCTGGACCAGTAATCTGCTTTCTCACTTTCAGATTTCTTAATACACAACCTGAATGTTTCCTACCCCTAATGCTATGTTGCTAACAATTTACATATGTACCAAAATGAGATGATGTCTGATATAGAAAAAATAGGCAAACATTCCAGACAAGTTAGGGGACTTGCATATTCATAATAACTATTGCATATTCCGAAATCCCCAAAACCCCCTCCCCTATGTATATGCCTCCCTACCTTTGCAAGTTTATTTACAAAGTTAAATGTAAAAAAAATGTCATAGGAATGAAAAGGACTGCAGTAGCCACAAGCAGGGCAAAATGGAGTGAGAAGTTTTTAAAAGATCTCAGGTGTATGTATATATATATATATATATATATATATATATATATATATATATATATATATATATATATATATATATATATATATATATATATATATGATGGATGATATACAAAGATCATATTAGCCCATACATCTTACAACCATATATGTAAGTATTAAGATTTTACATACATGCAAGCAGGCACACACAAACAAACACACAAAAACACACTCTCTTATTCAATCAGTCTCTCTTCTGTCATACAGTAATATCTGTAACTTGGAAGGAAGGAAATAATCTAAAAAAAATAATAATAATAAAAAAAAATAAAATACGAAAAAAGCTGCCTTAATATGAAAAAAAAACTAACCTATCCTATCATCTACTACAATGCCAACATAACCTGTATGGAAAACAATCACAAGGAAATAATCACAAGTGTCTAAACAACCTTTACATGCTGGGAAAGGGCAAATTATAGAGAGGGAAAGGGAGGGAAAGGAAAAAGTTAAGAAATACCAATTGTTTCAACAATGCCAGCATTGTTTCTTTGGGAGGTCTGTGTATCCCTTGGGTTTTAAGTCTGAGTGGGAAGCTATGTGCCCTGGAAGACTCCTAAAACTACTATAGACATGCGCCCTGTTACGTGGTGATAATAATCGATACCTGGTATTTCATAGGTGTGATTGACATCATACAATTCATCCAGCTAGAGTCAACATTTCAAAAAGTTGCAGTAAGTAATAGTACTTCCCTTGCAATAATAATATAATAATATAATTATAATGTAATAATATATAATCATAATGTAATAATAATGTATAATGATATTAACAACATTATCAATAATAATAATGAGCTTAATAATGGCAATGGATGGTGATGATGATAAAGATGATGATCATAATCATGAAAAAATATCTTTATATAATAAAAATAGTAGTAGTAGTAGTAGAAGTAGTAGTAGTAGTAGTAGTAGTAGTAGTAGTAGTAGTAGTAGTAGTAGTAGTAGTAGTAGTAGTAGTAGTAGTAGTAGTAGTAATAATAATAATAATAATAATAATAATAATAATAATAATAATAATAGTAGTAGTAGTAGTAGTAGTAGTAGTAGTAGTAGTAGTAGTAGTAGTAGTAGTAATAATAATAATAATAATAATAATAATAATAATAATAATTACAACAATCAACATGAATAAGAATACAAATGTTATCAACTTTCACCATTATTCCCTGTTCCAGGTACCTCAGGGAAGACAATACAACATACATTTGGCATAATTCTATCACAATCACTACAAAATGGAATTCATGGTTACATCATCATGAAGTGTGTGAGCACAGTATCATTCAGTCTCTTACACTAGTCCATATTCCATTTTTTTTTTTTTTTTTTATAAAGATTTGATTTTCATTTACATTTTTCCATTGAGCACAGGTCAGAGAACAAGACTATCAATAAATTCAAAGCTATGGGAAATAAAGGTAGAATTGGCAAAAGGAATATCATACATAATCATCTACAAACATAATTTCTATGGATACAAGAATCTACTTTTATCAATATAGAGCAGAAACTTTAAATCTTTATACAGTAATCTGCAGACAATTTTTTTTTTATTCAAATCCAAATGAGGATAAAAAATTGCATTCCAAAATAGATACTTGGTTTGTCTTTAGCTTAGAATAAAATTTTCTTAGAATAATAAAGATTTCTTTACATACTAACCAATTTGCATATATGTATAAATATTAAATGTATATATTCTTTTATGTAGATAAGTTTCAACAAAAAAGTCATATAAGTAAAACCAACCTATACTTACACTGAAATGGTTAAAAGTAAACATGAATATACTGAATTATATGCATATTCAACCAACAGTTATCATGTATAATTATGAAATTAAACCTCCAGTTTGCACCACAATATGCAGCACTCTATAACAACCATATATGTCTATAATTTCCAATATTAACAACTGAAATTATGAAAAGTAAGAGACTATCATATTCACATTGAAGAGCATTTTCTATTCTACCTTGAATAACTGCTCTAAAAACTGAATATCATGACCTCTATTATCACAGACCAATTAAAATATCCCTGCACCATGTGCTACTATAAATCCCTAGCACAACTATCAAGCACAGCTAGCTTCTATACATCATGTACTTTGGACTGGTTAGTGTCATCTACCGGTTTCTGCACTGGGACTGGTTCTTTGCCTTCTTCTACAGGATCATCTGCTGTATCCAACATGGATCTGAAAAGCATAATTGCATGGCATTCCTTGGCTGCTCACTATCTCAATACTATTATAGGTACATGATTTCTGAAAGAAAATCCTCACAGGGAGAGAAAAAAGCAGAGAGAAAGACAGAATAAGACAGGGTTGGGCATTTCATTATAATTGGGAAAAGCCAAAACCCAGTAACACTTACTCTCTGGCTAAAGCCTCTTGTTTGTTATGCAACTGTGTCTGAAGTATAGCCACTTCCTGCTTGAGGGAGGAAAGGCAAGTCTCTAGACTAGTGAGCGGCAATGTGGATCGGGGCGGACGGGCAGATCTTTCCATAAGCTGAGTGAGAGACGTGAGGTCCAGAGGGGAGGGGGAGGGGATCACCCCCGCCTCTGAGCTAATGGTTGATTCTTCAGCTTCCTGGGCTTCTCTCTCTGCTTTCTGAATCTGCAAAATGGCAAGCAACTTCTGAAAAAATCTGTGATCCTATGAAGCAGCTTTTAAGCTCTTTGTCATAATCAAATCTTTATGTAAAAATACAGATAGTCCCCTACTTAAGAACATTCTATTTACGCACATTCCGTACATATGAACTTTTTTCTTAAATACTTAAGTCAAAAAAATTGTTTGAAAGATGCTAGCAAATTTCAAATTTCACGGGCGCAAATATAGTTCACGAGTCTGCCACAAGTCTGACTCACTAACCAATACCGACGGGTATGACGTGCACGTACGTGCTATGCCCACTGTGAGTACTTGTTTGATTGTTTTTACACATAGATGACAACACTTGTACTAAGTCACCAATGAGCCATTTACGAGTACTGCCCGTCTCACCCACTTACCCTTTTCTTTGATTTACAAAATATTTTACGTTATCTTAGTTTGCTGTTACTAATGTTAAAAAACATTATAATAATTGTAATATTTAAAATAAAAATAACACCATCGATATTCATAGCACTAGTGAAAAATACGTTTTTCCCGCCATTTCAAATCAGACACTAGTAGAGCCATCAATGGGCAGACATTTCACAATAAATATAGAAAATAGGCACAGCATTTTCCCCCTTTTTTGTTCATTTTTCCCAGCAGTATTGGGTTAGAACAAGTACAAGTGTAAATCAGGTACTTGATACATGGGACATATGTCAGACTTACTTTGAGTTGCCCCAAAGCTGTGTGTAAGGCTGTACGCAATTCCACTGCTTGCGTCTGATAGCTGACTCTTTCCCGCTGCACCTGACTAAGCTGAGTAGTAAGAGCTGCGACCTCCTGTCTGGCACGAGCAACACTCTGCTCCAGTTGCTCTACTGTTATTTGGTGGGAGGCAACCTTGGCATCCAGCTGTTCTCTGATCTGATTTACTTCTTCAGAGCTTGCCTTCAGTTGGCCTTCCACCACCTGTTTCACATGAGAAAAATAATCACATGATAAAAAAAAAATAAATAAATAAAGTATTTTTCCCATTCAACAATTATGAACATATGGAACTACATCCCCTCACAACAGATTCTTTAAAAAAAAATCTTCAATCTAAACTCACAATATATTTTTTTAAATATCTTCAGTCTAAACTCACAGCAGTTTGGATATAAACATACCATGATCTGGCTCTCAAAAGCTGCAATTTTGGCTATTGAGTCTTGGAGCTGCGTCTTCGTGTTTTGTAGTTCGTTCGTTAACAAAGCTTTTCTTCTTTCACCTTCTGCATTTCAGAAGATATCTGTTGTGTTTTGCTATCTACTTCCTTCACACTGTTTTGAAGCTTGGCATTTTTACTTTCCAATTCTGTTATGCGTGCTTCTGCACCTGAGAGATCCTGTTCCTTTGACTTCAGCGTCTCAATCAGGTTTGCATCTCAGTCTCTAACTGCTCCTTCTGAAATCATAAAAGAAAACATGCATATAAAATAAACCAATCACAAAACAGTGTTTCACAGAAACCTACACCAGACAGAAAATGTAGTGTAAACAAAATGCAACAATAACAGAGTACAAAAACAACAAATATAACTCAAAAGGGATGAAGTTACAAATACATACAAAACGCCTAACATCATCTAGCTCTGCCTGCTTTATTGCCATCTTCTCACTGAGAGTACTTGAAGAAGATTGGGCTTTCTGGAGCTCTTCTTGGCCTAATCTCAATCCAGTTCCATTTTTTTAAGTTGTTGGTCCCTCTGAGCAATGGTTTCCTTAAGGCTCAGGACATCTTGGCGTAGGTTGTCTGAAGTCTTCCAAGTTCTGTTGACAATGACAGAAAGGTTGAATACCGTATCTACTTCCCAAGATCTATATAATATAAAGTATATCTCATGCTATCTGAACAGAGCCATGACCAAGCTCTGAGAAATTTTGTGTCATGACTCTACCTATGCCTCAATGTGTACATGTAACTTTTACAAGCTATCTCAGATATAGAAAATCTGTATGTAATTGAAAAATTTGAGACCCAGGATAATATCACTATCATATTTTTAGAAAATAATCTGTTATCTATTTTCAGATGATAATTTGCCAATTTGTGAAAACCTTACCTTACCATTACCTTACCATTCTGTAAATATTATATAAAAAAAATCATAATATTACAACTAAATCTATACATGTTTAAAAAAAAAAAACAACAATAAAACTGTATTAACTGTATTCAATACTTACCCTGAAGTCTGCCAATCTCCTTCTGCAGCTCTACGGTATTGTTGTTGATGATCATGGCTCCTACGAGACTCTCCCGAGCTCCGCCGCACTTCTTCCACTTCGCTCTCAGACTGGACACTTGACCTTCAAGACTCACTACGACCTTCAAGCTCTATGTATCTGAACAAATATTGAAATGACAGTTTCTTAATATAAAGATGATAATGACAGTGAAAATAAGATTCAAAAATAAAGGAAATTATGGATGAAAATTCTTCTAATGTTAACAAAAAAAACTTACATTGTAACTCATGCCTCCATGATAATACATTTAATTGAATAACAGTTTACCTGCCATATCAGCACAGAATATCTCTGTTGCGCCTCATTCAGTATACGTGGTGGTCTTCAGCCTGCGTCGCATCTCTTCTCTGCTGACTTGCGTCCTTCATGTGCTCTTTCAGCCTTCCTGGTTAGAGACGGACATTGGACTCATATCGTCTTTGTTTTTCCGGGAACTCTTTGGGTTCATAACTGCCATTTTTGTTTGACTTCCTCTAACTCACTATTTTTGGATTCAGCCTGCACACTCCAGGCTTTTGACTTTAGCTGTCATCATTTGTATTTCTGGAACGTTGTTTTCTGCAATTTTCCCAGAGTTGCTTTATCGCAAACGTTCAGTCTCCCCAGATACCCGCAAGTTTGTTCTACTCTTTTGAAGGAGGTCATGAATCTTTTCTTATAAACGGATTCTGAGAACGAATCCTCCAACACAGATTCAACTGCTACCTGAGAGTTAACTGATGAGGAAACTGCGACAGGGAGCTCCTGGCTTCGTCTTCTTTATAAAAGCTCAGTCTGTGTTGAGGTTCTGAATTTGCTTCTCCTTGTCTGCAAAGCTTTGGAGGTTAAATTACCTCGGCTTGCAATCTGCATGGTTTTATCAAAAAACGTGTGCATTTGTCACTGTTGCAGGTGGAGGTTGCAGAGGTAACAAGGTTGGTTCAAGTGGGTGCTCCTGGTTACAAAGACCTGAGTACTATCATGGTCCACTGTGACATGCAAGTCTCTCTTGGTTTTTACTGGAATGTTTGGTCGGCAATACCCTCCTGAGAACCCCAACTGTACTGTGTTGGGGACTTGTGTCTCGTTCAGGAATGCAATCTCTTAAGCTTTCAAATCTTAGCAAGCCACTCTCTTTTCAGCTTCTGCATGCTTAGTTGTATCCTTGATATTGCATAATATTGCATGGGACTGCTGGGTAAGTTCCTCAAGGTTAGAGATTTTTTGTTGAATATCTTCCTTCTCCTTATTCAAGACATATATCCTTAGCATGAGCTCATCTTCTCTTCCTTTAGAATGCTATTTTGACAGATTGTTCATTCAAGAAGAAGTAGGAGTGGTTATATCTTTCTCTTGATTCTCTATGTTGTTTCTAATCTTTAAGCTTCAGGTTAAAGGCTTCATAGTCTTTCAGCTTCTCTTTACACGCTTCCAAGTCCTTGCATTTTGACTTAAGAATACTCAAACTCTTTCATTTTTGCTCTCATTAAGAAGTTTTCTTTCTTGTGCTTTTCATGGTAGCTCCTAAACCTTCCTTCTGCTTCAAGGCATCCTTCAGCGTTGTTCATTCTCACGAACTTTAGCTGCAATATTGAGATTTCTTTGGGGTAGATTATACTATATTCTTTCCACCCTTCTTTTTGCCTCCTTCCTGTATTCATGTTGCAGCTGCGGATTCCTTCCCTAAAGTTTTGCATTCACAGTGGGTGTTTTTTCAAGGTGAGTGTTTCTCAGCCAGGAGCGAGTTACTTGTTCGTATTAAATCTATTTTCTCCTGATTTTTCTGATATTAGAGACTGTGCAGCGTATGGCTTCTTCATGGTATCCAAAATTTCGCCTATTTTCATCTGTACTTATTTGTCCCAGCTCTCTGACTTTCTGTCTTTTCTCCTCTTCTAAATGTGCAAGGTTTTCTTTGTGTCCTGATGGTTTTCGAGAGGTATCTAGCTGTGTCTTTTAGGATGTTATAAGGGCCCTCTTTTCCTTTTGAGATCTAGTGTGCTTATCATTTAATTCTTGATTTTCTTCATTATTTTACCCTTAGTTGACTAGTTTTTCTTTTCTTTAACAACTGAAGTTCTTTTAATAATTTCACTGTGTGTTTGCTCAATAACTTCCACCTTCCTTCTTTCAGCTATCTTGTTTTCTTTCATTTCACTTTTCATTTGGAGTGCCTTAGTCAGTTCAGCAACAGTTTTTCATTAATTTTGCTTCCTCTTACAAGATTTTTGCCTTTTCTTCTTCCTCATGCAACTTAAAACATACTCTCATCTTCCTTTCCATATTCTGTTTTAGCTTTCTTTCCTTCTGTATACTCTCCTTGAGTTCAGCTTTCTCTCTCTTCTGCATCTTCTCATGTTCTATATGCTTTGACTCTTGTCTTAATGGCCAAAGTCTCTTCCTTTAAAGATGCCCACTGTCTGCGAACTCTAGTAGTCTTCTCAAGGGATGAGTTTTGTTCATGACACATACAGCTTCCTCAATCCTTCTTGAGGATACTTCTCTATAGTTTTCTACACTTCCCTGCATATTTTGGATCTGCTCCTCCCGCAATCGAACAGCCTCACACCAAACCCTTTTCTCTATTTCTAGAGATTTCAGACTTCTTTCATACCACTTGCTCTGATTCTGCCTTTTCTCTAGCAATGACACTCTTTTATTTCTTGCTTCAGCTAACTCATCTCCTTCACAGTTTCCTTTTTCTCTTCATCTTCCAATTGTCCTTCTTTCTAAGCTTTCCATATTTTTTTCTCTAATTGTGTTCTTGCGTCAAGATTTCTCTGCCTCTTTCTTATGTTACTTCATCTGCCGTCCCTGCTGCCAGATCATGCTTCATTCTATAGAAGCTGGAGAAAGTTTTGTCATGTCCTCTCTTACTTTGATGATAGCATCATCTCTACTTCTTTCTTCTCGTTACTTGCTGCTGCAGTCTCACCTCAAGCTTCAGTTTTTTCTTCCTTCAAACATTTTTCTTGATGTATCTTTGGTCTTACCTTCCTCTTTGTGTTTGCTTAAAGATGACTTTAATTCATCACAGTTTTTTTGCTCAGATTTGTCTTGCGGCGAATGTCTCTTTCACCTAGAACTTCCTGGGTTAACTGCTTCAGATGTCCTTAAATCCTTTAATTCATTTTCATACCTTGATAGTAAGCTACATTTATGCTTCAGATCATCTTTGACAAAGTCGAAAAGTTGGTCTCTCAAGTATCACCAAGATCTAATCGAAGTTTGTATTCGTTGCCTATCCTGCTCCAGTCTCCCATGTCTCCTGTCCTTCCATAAGTTTTGTCTCACTGCCACGAATCCCGCTCCAGTTGAGAGAACAATGCCCATCCCTCTCTTCCATGTTCAGCCTGGAGAGCTTCGAGGTGCGCACCAGAGAGGGCTTTCTCTTCGCACGGCTCTTGCTTGCCGCATCCTCTGCTCCCGCTTCAATGGTTTTGTCAGTTATCTCTAATGCATCTTTCTCTGGATGTAATTTTGGCTAAACTTGACTTGGTATCTAAAGATCTGTTTGTAGTTTTGCTCTTGCAACTTGTGCGATCTGTAACTGTTCTGATACAAAGGCTGAAGCATTGGGATTTTGCAGTTCCATAGCAGATTTATTGGCAGCAGTTTCTGCCTGGATTTGTGCCTTTGTTTTACCTCACAGTCCCTTGTACCTGCGATAACCGAGCCTTCAGACCCATCTATTCTGGGCTTTCATGTTGGTTCTGCATCCATGAACTGGCTTATTCTCTATCTCTAGCTGCATTCTTTGAAATGTGATCTTTAATTAATGACTGGTGCGTTTCTCATAGTCCTTGATATTCTCTGATCGTTCCCCCCCCCCCCCCTCCCCCTTTCTGCATTTTTGAGATTCTCCTCCAGGTCCTTGTTAGCTTCTTCATACTTTTGCCACCTTGCACTCATCCTTGTTCCTGCATCCTTTGCACAGAAGCAGCATCTTTTACGGCTTCAGATTCCTTTGCGCTTCAGATATTTTGGTTGTAACTGGTTCTCTCATAAACAGTATCGCAAGTTCTTGTTTCAGCATTTCCAACTGGCCCTCTAAATTTGCTCTTTGTTTTAATACCTCAAATACTGGTTCTGATTTGTTTTCAGTAATTTTTTGTCCTGCATCAGCTTCAAGTTGCTGCTGATACAGTTCTTTTTCTC